AACATTATACAATATACTTACAAAAAACTATATGCTTATCTACTCATTAGTTATCTACTCATGCTACACTTAGATATAGACTTTCACAATATATCACAACACATGAACCATATACAATTTATACAAATTAATAAATTATAACATACACAATATATGTCTACATATCATTATTAATTTCAAACTCATGTCTCATGGTATATGGTATTTTCTATACATATAGCAATGATAAACGACTAAAGAAATAGGTATACTATGTTTAAAATTTTAAATATTATGTAACAATAACATTATCCTAAATTTGAACGTAAAATTACTATAAAAATGTGAATTTTATAGATTTTTTGGTAACCGAATTAACTACTCACGTGGAATCTTGTTTCAAATTGTCAATCCTTAGATATAAATATTGAACATTTTATACATTATTAACTACAAAATAATTATTCAATTTTAAATTTGATAAATTTTGTCAAAATTCTTATAAAAAAAAATTGTGCCAATGTATTTTTAATATTTTTCAACTCCTATTGTAACAATATATCAGGAGCCTTGTGTTAAATTTTTACACTTTTTGGTCCAACAGATAAAACATTATTGACATTTTTAGAAAAAAAACTAAAAAAATTAAAAACTGAAAATGTCTGTAAACAGCTCAAAAAGAGTCAAAATATTTTCAAATTTATATGTTGTATTGGAAATGCTAATATAAACAATCAGTGAAATTTTTTTGTATCTATAGTCATTCATTTTTGAAATCGAGTGAATATTCAATGTCGTAAAAATTTGAATTTCAAACGCTCATAAAAATTTAATTTGACATTCTTATGGACATTTTTTTCTTTGATAAAGGTAGATAATCCTATAAAGAATCTTGTATTACATTTTAAAATCTTAGATTTAAAAAGAAAAATTTTTACGAATTCTTAACTCAAAATAATTTGCTAATTTTTGTGATTTTTCCATATTTTGTCAATTTTTGAACTTTAAATGCTTATAAAAAAAAACTGTGACTAGAGATTTTCAACATTTTTTAACTGCCTTTGATAAAAAATATACTATAGGAGCCTGCTATTAAATTTTCAAGCTTTTTTACAAAAGTAATAAAATTTTATTGATATTTTTAGAAAAAAAAACTAAAAAAAAATAGGAAAATGAAAATGTTCCTAAACACTTCAAAACAAATCATAATATATTTCGAAAATTTTATCGTGTATAAAAATGCAAATATAAACAACCAGTAAAAATTGCATGTATTACATTCATTTGTTTTAGAGTTACATCTTAATTTGTTGTTTTTCCCGGCGTTTGTGAAAACTATTGGGAATTTTAAAATTCAACCTCCCGAATGCACCAACTAGATTCACTTTCCCATCAAACAAGATATTATTGTAGAATATCGAAGCAGTTTTACTGCCCCAAACCGTGGTGACAGACACAAAAATTAAAATTTTAATGGCGATAATTGACCTATTAACAAACGAACGGTTAGGTAAATTTCAAATGTGACTCTGAACTCTGAAGTCCCGATATCTTCCATTCTTCCAGTGATTTCAATAGTCCGTCAACAGGCATTATTTTAAATGCGCAACTTGCCGCTTGCCCTTGCCTGGCGGCTATCATACTTACCAATCACCATACACAAGTTTAGGTACTCTAAACTAACTACTTGTCTGTATCTATTGTATCTTCAATTTTTGGAAAAGTAATAAGTTGTGGAGTTGTGGTCAAGCCCGGATTAATAGGATCAATTGGGCCCCGTCACACCTTATACACTCAGTACATTCAAAATAATTGTATATTTGTATCATTAGATATTAACGACTTTATATTATTGTATAATTTTTTACTATACAAAAAATATACAAGGTGTATCATATGTCATTGTACGCGGTTTTTTATTTAACTATTATGAATCGATGATATATAGAATTTCATTAAAACAAAAAAAGGCATGTTTCTTTATTTTCAACAGGCAATTTTTTTTACAAAATTTTCAAAATTTTTAATCACGCAGTTGTTCCAATAATAAAATTGACTTTATTTTTTCAAATGGTAACCACTATATTTTTTGATGGATTCTGGTATTACTTTTTTCTGAATATTTTGACAGTCAAATAATCAATTTTGGTTCGCTAGGTTATTAACTATGGCCCTCTAAAGTTTATTTTATATGCAATAATACTTTTAACTGAAATACCTAAGCCCCCCCCCCCAAACCTAGGACATACAATTTGAATACGCTTTATTGCAATGGTCTGCTTGCCTTTAGTATATTCAGCCCCCCCCCCCAAGCCAAAAGTTTAAATTATGCCTATGGTGGTCCTACGTGGTACTATACTCGATGGAATATATCACGGACTAAGATTTAGGTATATCTAATATATATTATGTAGGTAGTTATTACTTATTAGTTGTCAGTTAATAATATTTACATTGTTAATAAAAGTAAACAATACGGCCACTACAATATACGTAGGTACTATGACAATACGACGAACTGTATTATGAAAATTCAAAATATCATTAATTATTATTAATAAATATAATATTTCATAATATATCACGGCATAGTCTGTGCTACTACATCACACAATGACAAAGTGCAGTGTAAACTAGGTAGGTACATTAGGTATATATTTTGACCTACTCAGTAAAATTATGTGGATCGTAAGTCCATAGGCGCAATTTCAACTTTTGGCTTGGGGGGCTGAATATATTAAAGGCAAGTGGACCATTGCAATGTAGCATATCAAAATTGTATGTCCTAGGTTTTTTTTTTTGGGGGGGGGGGCTAAGGCTCAGTTTGGGGGCTTAGCACCCCCAAGCCCCCCCAATTTGCGTCTATGATCATAACTACCATAGACATATAAAGGGTTCACACAATCACACTACACCGTGTCGTGTAAAGTAATCACGGTTACCAGTTAACACAGTTACTAAACGATACCGCATAGTTGAAAACATTCAACTTTTGACCGCGTGTGGTTACATTTAAGTGTTTCTTTGTCTATGAGTGTGAACCCGGCCTTATCCTCACATAAATGTAACCGCTAAGTACCTATATAGATCTACAGAAGCGTCATTTCAGTTTTCAATAGAGGGGGCAAAGGTTTTGACCAGCCCGAATGGTTAAAAAAACCGTTCACTTCGCTCGCAACCACATATTATCTACTTACATTTTTTTATGATACCCTTTTTATTAACTAGGTAACATAATTTTTTAAATATAATGCAGCAGATATTTTAGAAAAACAATTACCTATATCAGTTAAAAGTCTACAAACTTTTATATGGCAATAGCCAATAATAATGATGAGCAAAAATATTAGTAGCTTATTAGGATATCTTCTTTTTTTTATTTTTGAAAATATATCAACTGCATTATCTATAAATCAATTTTACCTGATTCATCACTTATAGCCCATACTCTATTACTCTTATATAAGTATACGATATATTTACAAATTAATATTATTATCTTAAATTATAATATATTTTTTTTTTATTGCTTGCTTACCGGCTCAAGTTTTGTCTGTTTATTAAACATACCGGAAATTATTTTTGATTCTTGAGCAGTTTGCTGTAATTTTATATTTTTATAACCCATTTGTTTATTTTTTTTAAGTCATATTTTGCCCAAATTAAAAGACTAATGTAAACACGCGTCACGAAAAAAATAAATTTGAATTTTAAGTACCTTAGGTACTTAACTAAAATATTAACACAATACGCAGTTGAATCATACACGACTGTCGTAAGTTAATTCAGTTAACTGAAGTCCGTTGTCCGTGATCAATGATAATTAATATTTAATAGGAGTACCAATCGGTTGTTGTTTTTAGAATTTTTATTAATTTTAGATTTTAGAAATTAAACTATACGAGATTATGATACTGATTATTATTATTGTTGTGCATACAATATTAATATGTTCATTTTCCTACACAAAACACACTCGCACAAACAAACATACATAAATACATACCCATACATACAATGCGTACGTCCCCGCATACGTCTAAATATAAATATATTCCAACTATCAATTAGTAAAAATGTATCATTGTGACAATAATTTCTTAGTACAAGGTATAATATTTTCTGAAAATATTATAAAATAGGCATGTTTTTGAGCTGATAAAATATAATAATGGTAAAACGGTAACTGGGCACCGGCCCATCGGGATGCTTTTGAAATTAGACAGGGGCAAATGCCCACCTTGCCACCTTGTAACATTCGGAACTTTTTTGCGGTCATATCCTCCGGTAGCGTGTTACATGGGCGCAGAGTGGCAGAGACGCAGAGTGCCATAGTCCGTAAGCTGTAGACTTGTGAGTTGTGATTAAAGTGATTAAACTAGGTATTAAAGATACTATCTGTAATAGCCGTGACTTGAACCAAATCTGGAAGTTTACAGCCATAGATAAAGACGTTTTTGATATCAGTCTTTTATTTTACACGCAACCATAGACCTTAGACCATATACCTTACTGAACACAACACGAGACGTACGCACTTTACTACAACTACGGCTTCATAGTTCATAACGACTTCTATAGTAACTACATAACCTAATATTATTCAATATTGTTTTTCAAACGTATATCCTAGCTATGAGCTAGCACTGATACGGAACGCATGTTACTTGTTAGTTGTTGATATTGGTTTTTCAGTTTTTTTTAATTATATGCAAGTATGTAACCAGTGGTGGTTGTCGTTATTCTTTAACCTTAAATACCGTCATAAATCGTAAGTATTCCAATCTCCAATTTGTCGTAGGTATATGAATATGATATTTGTTATATTATGTACTGAGTAACCTATTGAATTTTATTTTTTATTTATTGAATAATGATTTATGTTTTTGACCGTTAAATTTTAATAAGTGATCCTCCTTAATTGTATTTTAGTGATTTTTTTTGTCATACTTATACTCATAAAAAAAAACACTGAAGACTAAATTTAATTGACATTTAAGTGTCGTTTTGTACCATTTTCTATGATGTCCAATCCAATTGAAATTGATGAGATAATTGCAAATTTAAGAGCAACCATCACATCTAATAAAGGTGGTGTACAATTAAATTGCATTGAATGTAAGTACCTACTAACTATTAAAACATAAAATTATTATTATAGTACGTTTATTTTATATTTATATAGGAGTGTACATTTGAGCCTTGTATTTGAATAACTTAATATAGAAGAAAATATATAAAAAAAAAATTTGGTGTAGGTAGATAGATATTTTAAAACTATACAAAAGTATTTTTAATTCCATTAATCCCAGCCTAACATATAATAATAATTGATATCAAATATGACAAATATGAGCCATCAGCTAACTAAATGATATTAAATAAAAAAGATTATTAGGATGTATTTTTTCACTAAATACATGTACTTTAGTGACATTGAGACAGACAGAAATCCATTAGAATATCAGGGCAGGGGGATGATATTTTTAACATAGGTAGGTACCTACATACATGGTGATTCATTAAGCGTACAACACTCATTAACTCAAAAAGTATTAATGTTTTTGAAAATATGTTTTTACATGGTTTTGAGCTGTTAAATAAACAACGTTTTTATTAAAAAATTATATTTTAAAAATATTTTTTATCCTTATAATTTTTTTAATTTTTTACTTTTTTGAATGACAGCATAGAGTTTTATTTCATATTCCAAAGCAGAAAATTTTTCTAAGTAATTTGATATATAAAAATTGAATTTAGGGCGAGTAGTTTATGAGTTATAAGTATTTAAAGTTTAGATGGGCGGAGGGGAGTGGTATGGGGTTACCCCGAAAAATGTTTGTCCACTACTCCGCTTGTTTAAACTTTAAATACTTATAACTCATAAACTAATCTTCCTAAATTCGATTTCTATGTATCAAAATACTTAGAAAAATATTCTGCTTTGGAAAATGAAATTAAAACACTATGCTGTTATTCAAAAAGCTAAGAAAAAAAATTATAAGGATAAAAAATATTTAAAAATATAGTTTTTTAATTAGAACGTTGTTTATTTAACAAATCGAAACTATGTAAGAAAATATTTTCAAAACATTAATACTTTTTGAGATAATGACTGTTGTACGCTTAGTGAATCAACCTGTATAAAACATTGGGGGCTGTGGCTCACACTAGGTACCTATTCATTTACAAAAATGATTTGTTATTTTATTCATTTTTTTTATTATAATAAGATTTATATTGTAACATGTATAGGAAATGTAATTTCATTTAAAAGGTAGTTACTAACAAACAGATATTGATATAATTAAATTAATACCATAAACGTTTAAAAATATTAGCTGAAAACAGAGAGTGAAGTTTAGGTACAACATTGTTAGAAAAAGATTGTACAGAACTTGAGTCCTATCATAATATGCAGGTATAATATTAGCTATCCCTTTCTCGCAATATTGGAAGTATAAAAAACATTGGTAAATCCATGGCTGGGTGTGGAGAATGCACAATCCATATTATATTACGTAAATATGACTATGATAAAGCCATGGATTTAATTTTAGCATCTAGTGAGGATTTATCTATTATCTATTTTAATCGTTTTTAGAGCACCTAAAATTACCTTGTAACCACTACATAATGCATTGACAGTATCAGTTTGAGCAGACCATCTAGTATCTGAAGGTGATTTTAAAGCAAAATGTGAGCCTAGGCACTTTTTTTCACGATATTCAAATTATAGGAAGAATTCCTTAAAAAATTATACAATTTTTGTACAAATTGAAAATAACTTACTGCTTTTATACCACATTATGTTGAATGAAATAAAAACAGTAAAATTACACTTTTATTTTATTTTGGCTTGTAGACCGACATATTTGCATCATTGTCATACAACTGGCCATGATAGTCATTCAAACTTATCTGATTTTTTATCAAGAAAAGATATAGGTAATGACTTGAGAAATAAATACTCAAATCCATGTTCTTCAATAGAAATAATCCAAATTATTATAACCGCCTAATACACTCATTTCCATAGTGACTAGGACCCCACCCATTCGTCAGTGCTAATCTTGTAACAACACCTGTGAGTAGTCTCACTGACTAACTAGTAACTACTTACATAGGTAACTAGCTTAAAATATTGTAGTTTTAAATTTGTGATGGGATGTATAAATGGATGATGGATAGATTCCACTATGGAATTTTATAATTAATGTTATATAAAATCTAGTTCTAAATAGTTGCCCTTATAAATGTTTTATTTTATCTTAAATTTAGAAAAATTACATAAATTTAGTCTGTACATTTTATTTTTTTGAACTGAATAATTTTTATTTATCTAGGTACCTATTTTTTTCAAAAAATAATTAGCCCTTATGATTTCAGCTGATTATTATAATTTAATTGGTGAACATATACCGTATCGGAAACTAGGATACAACACTTTGTCAGAATTTCTTGAGTATCTCAAGATATTTAAAATTAAAAATATTGGATTTAACAAAGTTGTGCATGTTGTGAGTGATGGAAAGACTCGACATTTGGAAAAAATGATAAATAAACAAAAAACAAAAAAGGTAGTATGAAAATAATTATATTATATATTTTGTTTCAACTAATATTTAAAATCATTTAAAGATTAATAAAGTTTCATAAAATATGATTTTCTGACACTTATGTTTCTGTTAATTTCCCGTCCCAATTCTAACAATATAATGGTCAATGGATCATTTATACATTTCAAAAAGAATGGTAGACTTTTTATACCATTATGTAAAATGTCAACAACTGAAATAATTAATGTATACTTTGCAGCTAATAATTTTGTTATTTTTATAATTGTTTATTTATTTTAGTCCAAGCGTTCAAAATCTAAGTTTCGTGCGGTACCATCTAAGAATTTGAATTATACCTACAATAGCTATAACAGTTCTATGGTAAGTTTATAACATTTTACTAGCTATATATTTTTTTTTTAATTATTTAGATTATGAAAACATTGTTTTTATATTTATTCGTATGTAATTTATCCCGTAATTTATATTCTATGATATTTAAATACAGAGTATAAACTGTAATTTAAATTCATTTGTATAAATATTTATGTCTTTATTGAACAAATGCTTAATTCTTACTAATTCATATATTTATGAATTATTTATACAATTTTTATTAATTCCTCATTTTTATATTATATAATAACCATATCTAATTAATTTTTAGTTAAAATTATATAAGTTATATTATTAACTTTTACTTTCAATTAGGTACTTAATTTCTTATTTGTATAATTAAGATAAATATGTAATTTGATTTATAGTTTTTGAATAAATACAGTTAAACATATTATTATTAATTATTCAAAATGTGTTAATGATTATTTATAGCAAATTTGGTTGAAAAAAAAAAGCAAACCGGTCAATAGTTTTGAAAAACATGCCGCTGATGTAAAGAATACCATCAAAGAAAATGTCAGATTGTCAAAAATACAACATGTATGTATTATTGTATTTATTGATCAAAATGTTTAATTATTTATTACACATAATATAGATTATAGAGTATATCCATTAGGTTGCTGAAAAAGGGATAAAATCTTGTAATGTTAAAATGAAATCTGTTGCTTAGGAGTAGTTTGTACCTAAATTAAATATATTAACCATACACTTAGCTTGATAAACCTATTTAAAGGGGCTTGAACCCCATTTATTTATTATTGCATATGCTTAATTATTATTATCACATGTTAATATTGTACACTATGTACAATATTACAACAACCACAATTTAAGATGCACATTGTGTATGTTCTGTAAAACCTATGACATGGATAATATTTTTAATTAATTAATAACCTGATTATATTCAAATTTAAAATGTTCACTAAATTGTTGCCTAATCCAAGGCGTTTAAATTCAAATCATAAATTAAAATTATGGTCCACAAATCTACTTTTTGATTATTAATTAATTAATTTTATTATTTTATGAAAATGTATAAATTTTAATTACTTACATCCTAAAAATCGACTTAAACGTTGTAACAAAATTAACAGCTTTGTAATAAATGAAAAACACAACCACTACTGTATTCATAAACTTTTATATTTTAGAACAAATTTTAAAGTTGTATAAACCGACAAAAATGTAGTAGCAATGTGTTCATTTTTTTCACCTTTTAAATTTATATTTATTTATTTCAGGAAAATAAAATATTCAAAAAAAAAGATGAACCAAAAGTATTTGCTCAAGACCGGTTACAAAAATATGAGAAAAAAGATATTTATCAAATTGAGGTTCAGGTTAGTATCAATACTATACAATATAAGGTATATTAATAGATAAATAATCAAAATATCATATGCATGTAAAATATTCAGCTAGAGGTTTCTTTATTTAAATTAGAATTATGGTCATTATAGCAATGATTGATATTAAATATATGGCTTTAAAATAATAAAAAAATATAAGTTATTATATTTTAATCTTAAGTTATGATAGGATTCTAATTTTCCTGTATGCATATAATTTTTTGTTTGCTTTCAATTGTTCAAAAACTTTTTATTGCAAATTATTTCTTTCTGTAACTTAAAGGTTTAGAATCCAAAAGTAACCATAGTTTTTATTTTTGGTACTCTTTGCTTAATGTCGGAAAAAAAATAATATTGACATGCAGGGCCGGATTAAGCCATCCGTAGGCCCTAGGCACTGAAAAAATTGAATTCTATAACATAGGCACTTTTGAATAGTATTTTTTCTCTTGTAAACAATTTGATTATACCTACACTAAGATATCTAATGTTTGGGAGAGGTAGTGTTGAATCTCAGTACTTTAAGCCTTAAAAAATTATTTACAACATGAAAATCAAATATTAACTTTTAGATTCTGAGCGGAGCGATGAATGTATTGGTTTTACAATGATGTGTGTTTTTATATTTTTTTTTGTGTCTGTCATCACGTTTTGGGACAGTAAAAGTGCTTCGATTTTCTTCAATAGTACCTTTTCTGATAGGAAAGTGAATCTAGTTGATACTTTGGGGGGTCAAAAGTATAAATTTCCCAGTAGTTTTCACAAGCGCCGGGTAAAACAACATAAAAATTAAGGAAAAACGGGAATTTTTACGCAAAATTGGTTTTCCAAAAAATCGATTTTGGTTATTGGTGTGACTCTAAAACAAATGAACGTATATACATGAAATTTTCACTGGTTGTTTATATTTGCATTTTCTATACACGATAACATTTTCAAAATATTTTGATTTATTTTGAACTGTTTAGGGACATTTTCATTTTCCATTTTTTTTTAGTTTTTTTTCTAAAAATATCAATAAAATTTTATTTGTTGGTTGCGAAAGCTTGGAAATTTAATAGAAGGCTCCTAATATGTTGTTTCAAAGGCAGATGAAAAATATTAAAAATCCTTAGTCACAATTTTTTTTTATAAGTATTTAAAGTTCAAAAATTGACAAAATATGGAAAAATCACGAAAATTAGCAAATTATTTTGAGTTAAGAATTCGTAAAAATTTTTCTTTTTAAATCTAAGATTTGAAAATGAAACACAAGATTCCTTATAAGATTATCTACCTTTATCAATAAAAAAATCTCTACCGGACAGTCAAATTAAATTTTTATGAGCGTTTGAAATTCAAATTTTTACAACATTGGATTTTCACTCGATTACTCATGTAGCGATTTCCTTATTTTGTTGCAATTCAAAAACGAACAACTGTAGATACATGAAAATTTCACTGAATGTTTAAATTAGCATTTTCTATACACCATACAATTTTGAAAATATTTTGACTCTTTTTGAGCTGTTTATGGACATTTACAGCTTTCAATTTTTTTTAATTTTTTTTTTCTATAAATATCAATAAAGTTTTATTTGTTGGGCCAAAAAGTGTAAAAATTTAATACAAGGCTCCTGATATATTGTTACAATATCAGTTGAAAAATATTAAAAATACATAGGCACGATTTTTTTTTATAAGCATTTAAAGTTGGAATTTTTACAAAATTTATCAAAATCTCGAAAATTATCAATCGTTGGAATTAAAAAATTATAAAATGTTCAGTTTTTATAACTAAGAGTTGAAAATTTAAAACAAAGGTTCTCTTAAATAATTCATACTGTAACCAAAAATCTAAAAAATATATAAACACACTTATTTTTTACAGACATATTAATTTCAAATTTAGACAAAATTTCATATTTAAACCAAGAATTACGATTTTAGTTATTTTGTTGTGATTGAATAATATTATTCGTGGGTACTTGAAACTTCTAAAGTGTACTATTATATATCTATGATAGTATCACGGTTTTTGTTGATGTATAACGCGTTATAAGTATCTAATGGATATTGTGATATGATTAATTTGGAATTTATTATAGGTACCTATTATAGGTCAATTTTTTGTTTAATACCATAGATATGTATATAGTATATAATATGTCTTATACATAGACTGACATACCATCACCGCTCAGAATCGTTTTTCTTATACAATGATATTATATCATTGAATTCAAATTTAATACCATCCATTATACAGTGACCCACTTGAAACCTACTGTACAGCAGAGCGACACCCACTTGCCCACCTTTTATAATTATAACTTTATCTGATAACAATTTTAACACATCTAAATATATATTTTATTTCACTCAAAATATAATATTTAAAATTAAATTTCCAGAAACCATAAAAACAACTTATTTTATACCATTTTGCATTTTCTTCCACGTATTTAAGTATAAAACAAAAGATAATTGTAACAAATTAAAAATAACAATATTATGTAGAATATTACTTAATATAAATTTATAGTTACAAAACTTTTTTACGATATTTTTTGTTTGCAAATGATTCTATAACTTTTTCAGTATCGATTTCTTGGAGCGATTCATGTTCAATTGCAAGTACCGATAATGATGATAATTTATTTTGCCCAATAGTTGACCGCTGCCAGTTCTTAACCCTCTTTATAATTGAAAATGATCTTTCACCTTCGCACGAAGTCCCAAAAATTGATAAATAGATTCTAAAATCAATGTTTACATTTGGAAAACTGGTTATTTAATTAGTATTGCATTCACAGACATTCCAGTTTCTCGAAAGCTCTTAAAAATCAAAAACTCATTAACAAATGAAGATTCCAAATCGGTTTTATAGGCTTCAACTAAATTATTTGCCTTTATTTTTATTTCTTCATCTTTTAAACTTTCGTCAGTTAAAAAATTAAATCTTTCATCTAATTTTAAATAAGCTTTTTTTCGTTTTTCCATTTCAACTATCTATCAATTATTTCCTAAAATACTCTAAACAATAATCATGGTTTTATTCATCATGTCGTTTCTCCGTATACCGTATACATTTTATCGGTTTATGGTTTATCCAATCTGATTTCAATAAGTAATTATTACGAATTGATAACGAACATTGAGTGTAAATATACGAGAAATATTATTATACGAAATGTTTTATTTTTTGTGCTAGCATCTACAGATAGTTAATTAACTTAAAATAAAAAAAAATAAAAAAATATTACAGAAAAATCGTAGCCACTCGTTTCATTTTCGTAGGCCCCTAAAATGTTCGTAGGCCCTAGGCACAGTGCCTAAAGTGCCTATGCCCTAATACGGCCTTGTTGACATGATGAATAAGTGAGTAAGTTTATAGTTAATAAAATTAAAATGTTTAAAGTTATGCTCTGTGATTGAAAATATTCTTAAACCTGAGATAATAATTATTATTCTTTAATTTATAATTACTTCTATTGTAACTGTGCCGCTACTTTGTAACATGGACATTGGTCATGTATAATTGTTAATTTTCCAATATAATACCAGTCACAATAATAATCATTAAGTACCTAATTATAATAAATGACTAATTAATTAAAATTTTTTTTTAGAATGAAGAATTAAAAAGTAATATTACAATGAATGAAAAATCTAAAAGTCAGACTATAATAAATGAAGAATCAAAAAGTGAGACTATAATAGAAGATTCATTTCTGGAACTATCAGACATTTTCACAAAAAAATGCAATATTCATGAAACGGTAGACTATAAATTTTATATAACAAAGCTTACACATGCAATGAATTGGTTTTTTGCTTTATTGTCTCTCTTGAATATTAAGTTTTAATGTTTGTTTATAACAGTGTAATGGTACTAATAGTCCGCTATACAAAAAGTGGCCTCTGACCGTCATGGTCCACAGTGGTCACAGTGGTTCTGCCATGTAGTATGCTGTATAGCTTAAGAACCTATGGCTAGCAGGTAGGGAAGCCGTGACGGGTCTCGGTACACAGCGGCCACTTTTTATCTCGCGGACTTTAAACATACGTTTTAATTTATTGGTTTAAGCTTGAAATAATAATACACACTCCTACATAGGTGGGCTCAGGAATATTTAATAGTGGGAGATGAATAAAATATTTTGTTATAAACTTGGAAGGTGGTGTCATTTCAGTTTTTAAGGGGGGAGGCAAAAGTAATTACCAGTAAACTAAAAAAATTGTTTGCTTTGCTCGCATAATCTTTCCCACTTTATTTAACTCAATACATAACATTTAAAATTTTTTTATAATTACAATCAAATGTTTAGCTTTTTGAGAAGAATGTTAAATGAAAACGATGTGGGTGGTGGCTAAATAAATATATAATTTTAACATAAATATGTTTTTAGGTTGGGTACAGATATTTTATTTTACTAACCGATTTTGCAAAACTAATACAAAGTTCATTATACAAGGTTTTTTGGCCAGTGCATTAAAAACTTTGTCAGATATCAGATATATATTATTTTTTAATATGACACTTAAATTTGAAATTGGTTAATTACCTAACTAACATAAATATTTATTTACGGCACCAAAATCATTAATTTAACTATTGAATAAAACAATCAATGTATGTTAAAGCTATCGTTGTACAATAATATTTTCCAGGATCCCGATTACTAATGTTAGCTTGTTGTGTACTTTGTTTACTTTATTGCATTATTGTTATCCTGTCATCTTATATATTAGCTATTTTTTTAACTAATATTTTAGTTATACAGGATTAATTATATTTACCTCAGCTTATTTGAAATATTGTTTGAATTCTTCAGCCATATTCCCACGCAAAAATCGAGTAATAATACTAACTTTAGCCGAATCCACAATTCCTTTCAAATCAATATCAACTATTTTTAAAAGTTTACATGAAGGTAAACTATATGCAACCAATGCCTATCAAATTATATTAAATTAATAAAATAATAAAAAATATAATAATCATAATTACTTTATACCTTTGTAGACAAATTAATAATACTCAATCCATACCTTATAATAAGATGTTTACATCTATATAAATATTATCAGAATCATTCCTCTTGTATATATTATCTAAGACCACAACA